AAACTTCTACTTTATTATATTTTCTAACTAATTCCTACCAAAAACTCTGGGCCAATTAGACTAGCTTTCTTAGTTTCCTATTCTTCAAACACCACCCAAACCAATAAAATTTGATCTTCCTTGCATCTTCTCTTCTTTTATACTATGCTAGAGGCCCGATGCATGAAACTCATGCAAGAGTAGGCCTTCCTTCCCCCATTTGCTGGCACCAGCTTCCCACTAGCACCCAGGACTCAGGCTTTACTCACAACCCCAGCTTCCTCTGGTCTAATGAGCATATTATGCTTTTATTATTATAGATTCCTTACCAATTGAATTCTTATATTTTTTCTCAATTCCAAATTCACTTATTAGCCATCCCTGCTTATTTCAATCCATGATACATTTTAAATTTTAAATATGATAGGTTTTCATTAAAAACAAAAGTTAAAAATTTTAAGTCCCAGTTTTTCTTGATCCTTGAAACCTGTCCTATCCTGAGACCTAACTTTGGCACATATTGGCCTGTGTCTTACTAGATCTCTCCAAAGCCAGGCTCTCTAAACTTCAGTCAGGAGAAATCTTTGTTGTAGGGAGCTGTCCAGCACACTGTAGGATGTTTATGAGGATCTCAGGCTTCCACTCACTAGATGCCAGTAAGCATCTCCTCCCAACTCAGTTATGATAACCAGACATGGCTAAGTATTTCCTGGGACACAGGGGGCAAAATCATGCCTGGTTAAAATCACAACTATAGGTATTTACATACACATTAAAATATATATCTATACGTCATTTAAAAAATTCCTGCATCATACTTCATGTGGATATACATATCCTAATTATGTGCCCATTCTTCTATCTGCTTCTTTTTTCATTCTTAGAAATAATGCTACAGTAAAATTTATAATTGCCCTATGCATATGTATATCTGTGTATCTACAGGACAGACACCTAGAAGTGTAATTGTTGGACTGAAGACAATGTGCATTAAGAAGATGCAAAATTCTGCCAAATCACCTCTCCAAAGGCTACTCCAATATGTACTGTCACCCAGAGCCTAGACTTAATTTCTTCTCCAAATTTAATTTGCTGAACACTAGATATTATAAACTTAAAATTTTTGCCAGCTTTACAGGTGGAAAATAACTCATTATTTTGTATTTCCAAGATTGGTGATAACAGTGAAAACTGTTTTTAATTTTAATAAGCTTTCCACTAACTTTGTGAATCATCATTAACTTGTATCATTTGTCTCCAGGGACACTCATCTTTTATTTATGATTATCAGAGTTCTTTACATCAACACAATCTATTATAAATTTTCCCACTCTAAAACTTGATAGTTTGACTTTGTTTATGATGTTTTATCATATGGAATTTTACACAGTAACATAGTATAATGATAAATATAAATTCTACATTTTCTCTGATGTATTTATAAGTTTTAAAAATATCTCTTGACCCATCTGTAATTTGTTATACACAGTAAAAGACAGAGGTAGAACTTTTATTCTTTCTACCAATAGAGTTAATTATTTCAACACTAGATGCCCAGTGCATAAAATTCGTGTAAGGGGAGGGGGTGTCCCTCAGCCCAGCCTGCAACCTCTCCAATCTGGGACATCCCTCTCCCAATCCAGGACTGCTGGCTCCCAACTGCTCGCCTGCCTCCCTTCCTGATTGCCCCTAACCACTTCTGTCTGCCAGCCTGATCTCCCCCTAACCATTCCCGTGCCAGCCTGATTGATGTCTAACTGCTCCCCTGCCAGCCTGTTGCACCAACTTCCCTCCCGTACAGGCCTGGTTACCCCTAACTGCCCTTCCCTGAAGGGTTGATCACTTCCAACTGCCCTCCCTTGCAGGCCTGGTGCCTCACAACTGCCCTCCCCTGCTGGCCATCTTGTGTCCACATGGGGGCAGCCATGTTTGACCAAATGGGGGCAGCTATTGTGTGTTGGAGTGCTGGTCAATCTGCATATTACCTCTTTTATTAGATAGGATAAAGGCCTGGTGCATGGGTGGGGGCCAGTTGGTTTGCCCTGAAGGTTGACCAGGATCAGGGTAGGGGTTCCCTTGGGGCATGGGGTGGCCTGGGCAAAGGGCCTGTGGTGGTTTGCAGGCCAGCCACACCCCTGGCAACCCAAGCAGAGGCTCTGGTATCTGGACTTTATTTACCTTCTACAATTGAAACTTTGTAGCCTTTAGTGGAGCCAAGCCTCCTGGTCGCTCCATGGCCCGCAGCCATTTCTGTTTGGATTTTTTACCTTCTACAACTGAAACGTGTAGCCTTGAGCAGAGGCTTAGGCCAGCTAGGGCAGACGGAAAGCTTGACTTCTTTCATTGCCTGGGAGACACAAGCCTCCCTCCTGCTCTCTGTGGCTGTAGCCATCTTGGTTGGGTTTATTTGCATACTCGCTCTGATTGGCTGGTGGGCATGGCTTGTAGGTATAGCAGAGTGATGGTTAATTTGCACATTATTCTTTTATTAAATAGGACCATTTCTTGAATAATTATTATTTCTCCACTGAAATTTATTCTCTTAACAAATGTTTATTTAGTGCTACTATATGCCAGGCTCTATTCTAGGTGCCAGTCACACTTTATTGAGCAAGCCAGACACAATAAATACATTTAAAAAAATTTCAGTATTACATGTTCTAAACAAAAGCAAAGTAAAACAGGTTGATGTGATAGCAGTGGTATTCTGGAGTAAATGTTTAACAGTTAACTCTGGTTTGCAGCACTTGTCACTGTAAATACTCTTGCCATGTTCAGTTTCAAGCTACCAATCCATGTTATCAGGTTTGCAAAGTTTCTTGAAAAATGTAATAATTGGCTTGGGGACAAGATGGCTCCAATAGAGCATAGTGGAAGAGTGACTGAGAGGCTAAGCTGGGTGGGTTCATGAGTGTGACAGACAAAAGCCAGACAGGTCCTGCAATGTAAACAAGCTTGCTGTTCTACGGAGCTAATGCTTACTTCCTCCTACAAAACTTGCAATGAGATTTGAAAGCCCATTGGAGACTTTTTAACATACATGCTGTTTAGTAATAAGATCTTGCCCTTTTGTGTCAAGGACCTCGTTTTCTTACCTTTCTAATTCCCAAAACATCCAGTGCAATGTTCAGATAAACATTACCATATGAAAGGCTCTATCTATCTGGCTAAATTATGTCATTCTTACTGCCCAAGAGTACCATATTAAATCACTTGATTAAGGTTCCTATACTTGCTGAATTTGCCTGTCTGGTTTTAAAGACAATATATATCAAATGTCAGCACCCTAGTAGCAATATAAGCTTTATTTAATATGTTAAGGCCCTAACCAAAATAAACATTTTAATTTTCATATTCTGGGGCGAAGAAACAACACAATGGAGGAATCTACTCAGCAATGTTAGGAACACGTATTAAGCATATGGCATGGTTCCTCCCAAAATTTATAATCAGACTGGAAAAACAACACTAATACACATAAAATAACAGAAGAGTAACTTAGGGCAGCATAAGATCATGTTTTATCATAATTAAGTGCCAGTAAGAGGGATACAAACACATATGTAAGATAAATACTCTGTGTGCTGACAAGGGTAGATAGAAAAAACTTTATGAGGAATTATGGGATTTAACCTGGGCCTAGAAGAATGAAGTGAAGTTAGCTCTAGCTAAGAAGGGGAAGTGTGAATGAAGAGACTAGACTGGGGGCAGGGGGAAAGCTACACAGGGATAAGAACTTGACTAGTGCTACTAGAACAGTGTTTCCTAAACTTCTGACATATGTGTACCCCTTCTATAATTTTCATAACCTGAGTACCCCTCGTACTCATGAGAACGTAGAATTAGGCACAGCTAAGCACGGTGCAGTGCATATCCCCACCAAACTCCGGTGCAACACGTACCCTCAACAAACTCTTCCCGTACCCCTGGGGGTACACGTACCACACTTTGGGAAACAATGCACTAGAAAATGAGTTCAACTGGGGAGGTAAGGAAATAAACATGGACAGCTAGACTACAGCTAGACTGTAGAGTGAAGTAGCCTGGGAATTCTGGATAATCTATAAGCAATGGAAGGGCATTGTGAAGTCCTAAAAGGGGTGGAGTTGGAGAGCAATTTAATGAAAATGCTGTTTTTAGGAAAATTAATCACTAATTACTCTTGTGTCATCAAGTAGATCCCTGAAATTCAGTAGCCCACATATACAAGTAGATCCCTGAAATTCAGTAGCCACATAGCCCACATATTGTAGGCAAATATTCCTTCAGATTACTTTAATAAACTAAGTCTACCTTAATTTTTAAAATCTGAATGTTCTAAATAAGACATATCTTATTAGATTATGTTGACTGAATCTTAAGAGCAAAGGATAGTAGCCTGGTTACATTTTAATACTTCAACCTCTATAGCTCTATTTACCCTTTCCACAAGTCATCCAGAAAGGCAGGAAAAAGTACCTATGTACAGTGCCAGCACAGCCAAAGGTGAACTTGAGAAGGGGCAGTGAAGGATTGAAGGAAAAAACAGATAAGAGAATACAGCTGATCTATATTCCGATGCCTGGATGAGGATACAAAAGACCCAGCTTGCAAGCTGATGCTTTATTTTATAGTCTGATTAAAACAAAGGTAGATTAACATGTATACAAATGTTGTTATTTTGGTAACACTTGCTGCACCTCCCACAGCCCATTAGCTACTTAGGAAGGAATCAGGGAGGGCTACAAGGTCAGGCCTTAATTATGCTAGGAGAGCTCAGCCCTCGGGGCTGGGACTTGTTTGTGGCCCAGCCACGGGTCAGCCCAAGGCTTGACTTCAGAGCTGCTTCCTACATACCAGGACTTCAGTCTGTTTGGGAATTTACTTATAATGACCTAAAATTAGGAAAAATGAATCTCAGTGATCATATTTCCTGGATTGAAAATTGGTACAGACCCTGTACAACAAAGAGCCAGGGTGAGCATGACTGGGCTGAAGGGACCAAGATGTAGCCAATAGGCTCCAAACATATGGGCACTTACCTAGTAATCCCCTCCTTGGTATAGAAGACAGAGTAGGTAAGATTGTCTCCATAAGGATCTGATGCAGGTGTCCGCCATGTCAATTTGATGAAGCGAGTAGAGACCAGAGAGGCCACGACATCCCGAGGTGCTGAAGGCAGTGGTCCCGATGTAGCTGGTGCTAGATGGTCAGTAGTGGCACTGGTCAGTGAAGTGGGAGGCAATGTTGGGATGGCAACATCTTGTCATGTGCAAACATTGGGGAATATGAAGGGCAAACCACGAAGGTTTTAAAAAAAGAGAAAAGAAAAAACAAAAAGCAAAAAAGAAATAAACAAAACCACGATGGGAAATAAAACAAAATGAATAAACATAAAAAAGGCCATTAAACTGAAGGCTGACATGCAAGCCATGGAGAATTATTGAAAACTAATGGGCGTTACTTAAGACACATTACTGTTGAGCAGGCAGATATTCTGGTCACTGTAATGGTTGTGGGCAAGGGGCAGGGAGGGTGAAAGTTGAGAATAAACATCTCACAGAAGGACACAGCAGTGTTCAAGTAATTTTCTTTAATCTGAAAGCAGCAGGCAGCATCTGTCAAACTTAGCATATAAAAGCCTCAATATTTTCTCTTTTATCAGAATGTGGGCTAATGTGTGCAGTATGATTAGTCTAGTTTCACTTAACATAGGCCCCATGCTACTGTGACCTCACTATAAAGCTGTGTGTGTTTAGCTCTGCAGGGATCCAAGAGTCACAATTTCAACTTTATTCCAATAATAGAGGTCAGATGCACGAAATTCGTGCACAAGGGGAGGGGTGTCCCTCAACCCAACCTACACTCTCTCCAATCTAGAACCCCCTTGTGGGATGTCCAACTGCCAGTTTAGGCCTGATCCCTAAACCGACAGTCAGACATCCCTCTTGCAATTTGTGATCTCTGGCTCCTAACTTCCTGCCTTCCTGCCTGCTTGACTGCCCCTAAACCACCTCTGCCTGCTGGCCAGATCGCCCCCTAACTGCTCCCCTGCGGGCCTGATCACCCCTAAATGCCCTCCCATGCCAACTGGATTGCCTCTTAATTGCTCCCCCCTGCCAACCTGATTGCCCCCTAACTGCTCCCCTCTGCTGGCCTGATCACCTCTAATTGCCTCTGCCTTGGCCCCCATCACCATGGCTTTGTCCAGGACATCCAGAAGATGTCTAGTCTAATTAGCATATTACCCTTTTATTAGTATAGATTAAACTTGGCATACACAGGGAAGTTTGACATCTTTCATCACTTTGCTAAAATTATAATTCTTTTGCTATCTTATTGATTCATTTAACTAAAACAGTATAAAATCATGAACCAAAATTTCCAAAGCCACAAAAATACAATATGTAGGTAGCCTATTTCTTTCTTACAGTTCTCACTGCAGTGTATATAACAAGGGATGTCTTAGATGGAGCAATGGAAAGTCAAAGTTCTGCCAGTCAAAAGCTCTGTTTGTATACCTGTAGTCAGGGGTAACCTCCTGAGGCAGTTCCGTAGATACTTCTGATTTTACAAGTTTATTCCTAATATTGAACCTAAACCCTTTAACTTGGGGTCAGAAAGCATAAGTTTAATATCACAATTTTTAACTAACGAAGTTCATTAGAATTGTGTCATAACCTTAAGGAGGAAATTAGGGGAAAAGAAGCAGCGAGGAAAGTATGAAAATTCTTTACCCAATCTATTTCAATGAAATGGTACAGCAACAACCCTTGGGAATGTCTGTGAACTTAAAAAAATTCTAAAGTGAGGCAGTCTAAATACACAGCCAGAGAGAATTCTCAAAGGGAAAAAGCAGAGGAAGATCCACCAAAAGTTTCTAGATAGGTGAAGAGGGGGGAAGAGTAATCCAGTAGCTATCATTTACTAGACACTTTCTACATAGCACTCTAGATCTTTATATGACTCATTCAATCCTGACAACAACTCTAGAGATAGGTGCTATCATATATACTTCTACCTTATATGCAGAGACTGACATTTAAACGAGCTCACTTGTTCATCATAGATCACACAGACTAAGAGCTCAAGTGTTAAAACCAATCCTGGTTTCTAGTTTAAAATGTCTTAGGTCCTAGGTTAGCCATGAAGAGTACTAGTCCTGGCTATGCCACTTACTACTGTGTTTCCCCAAAAATAAGACATCCTCTGAAAATAAGACCTATTTACAGGTTTCCTTCTGAGTGAAATATAAGGCATCCCCCCCAAAATAAGGCTCCCCTAGGCTAAACATAAGAGATTTATTTGGTCCACTGATTCTGAAAGAAATGGAATCACAAGAAATTCACCAGGAAATTCAGGAGTTGGATTGTTATGATGATGTTCCAGAAGATGATGACATGATTGTCATTGAATAAATGAGTAAATTCTTGATACTGTAGGATTCACAGTTTGGTTTGTGTTGACAACTACTGTACTACCGTACCGTATACAGGTAATTTCCTTTATTTTCATTTAACAATAAATGTGTACCGTATTCTTCTTCATGGAAAAATAAGACATCCCCTGAAAATAAGACCTAGCGCATCTTTGGGATCAAAAATTAATATAAGACACTGTCTTATTTTCGGGAAAACAGGGTAATTATGTCACCCTAGTTCTTTCTCACTAGTTCCTTTTCCTCTCCTCCTGAGGAATTTTAAGAGTGTGACATGCTATAACATGTAAGACTATGAGGTCAAAGTTCAGATACAAGTCCACACTTCACTGATATGTCTGAATGGCTTCATTCTTATCTGTTTACTTCAACAGATGTGCTGCCTCAAAGGACATAAATACCTCTCATTCATAGCTGCCAGAGTTCTTTTTCATACACTTTTTTAGTTTATTTCCTCAAACAATCCTATCAAGCAAAATGACAATGACAGGATTAGAAGTTAGGGTATTGGTTAAAAAGAGCCAGGGTGAGCACCACTGGGTTAGAGGAACAAGATGAACTCCTTTAGTTAAAAAGGACCCCTGGGTTTCCAGTATAGGAGAATGTGTATTTAGGTGTCATTAACAGAGAAAGAGACAACAAATTGAGGAAGAGACGGTAAATTTGGTTCTGAACATGTTCTCTAAAGGAATGATCCAACCTCCACCAGAGAACTGTATAAAAAGCAATTGGAAATGCGGATTTCTGAATTTTGTAAACTTAATTTTTTTTTTCATTTTTAAATATATTTTATCTTATTGTTGACAGTATTATAAATATCTCCCATTCCCTCCTCCCTCCAGGGTTTCATTACTCGTATTGCCTGTGTCCATGAGCTATGCATATAAGTTCTTTGGTTTATCTCTTCTCATCCCTCCAACCCCACATTGAGGTGTGTCAGTTTGTTCCATGTCCTCCTGCTTTGGTTCTTATTTTGTTGGTCGGTTCATTTTGTTCATTAGATTCCACAAAAAGTGAGATTATATAATATTTGTCTTCCTCATTTTGAATTATTTCACTAAGCATAATATTTTCCATGTCCATCCATGCTGTCTCAAAGGTAAGAGATCTCTTTTTTTACAGCTGCCTAGTATTCCATAGTGTAAATGTCCAACAGCTTTTTGTAAAATTTAAAGTCACTAAAACCCTTAAGAATGGCTCAGAGCCGAAATCGGTTTTGCTCAGTGGATAGTGCATGGGTCTGTGAACTAAAAGGTCCCAGGTTCGATTCTGGACAAGGGTGTGTATATTGGTTGCGGGCACATTCCCGGTAGGGGGTGTGAAAGAGGCAGTTGGTCGATGTTTCTCTCTCATCGATGTTTCTGGCTTTCTATCCCTCTCCTTTCCTCTCTGTAGAAAATCAATAAAATATATTTAAAAAAAAGAATGGCTCAGAGTGTCCTGAACACAGTATTGTTTTGCTGCCTCGTTACTGTGCCTATCCAGAAACACACAAAGCTGCCTCCAAGTCTGACCCAATTCACCAAGCTAAATTTCCCCAACTATCTGCTGGCTAGAGAAGGGAGGAAGTTTGTAATGAGAGGCAATAGATCAAAACTGTTGCCAACCTTTTGAACCTCGCGGACCACTAGTGGTTCATGGACCACCAGTTGGTAACTTGCAATAGATCACACTAGACTAAGTTTTTGAGTACAAAGATTTTATGTTCAGAACGTGACTTTGCCACTCCCTAATAATATAAAACTGGGACAGACACTTAGCCTCCCTACACACATACCAGGCTGATAATGAACGAGATGATTATGATTATAAGTAAGTACACATGGAAGCACACATTACTACCACAAGAAGTCTAAATGGCAACAAACACTAGAATATTAGATATAAAGGCAACTAGGAAGGAAATGTAAGTAGGAAGGACTAGGTGATGCAAGTACATAATGGGTGATAATAGAAAGAATTCTTTAATGGCATCCTGCATTTTCCACTTATATTTTTTCATGTTCATATTGTATCACTTGTATTAACCTGTAAGTCCCTTGAAGATAAAATCTGTATCTGTTTCATGCCTCTGAATATTTTAAATAATAAGTATATACTTATTGAATAAGTGGAAGAAAATTCAGGGAGGATGTTAGTGCAGTGGTGACTACTGTTTCTAGAATGTCATTACATAAAGCAATCTTTTTAGCTGATACAAAGTATATACAAATAATATTTTTATAATGATGTTAAAATTTATCAGTTATATAGAAAAGTATAAATAATGCTGGATCATCATAAATGATTTCTAATTAGCCATGGGGAAAAAAACCCATGTTTACTGCAGTGCTCATGTTCAATACTCACTTATCCCCAGACTAAATCAAGAGTTAATATTCCATATCTGGCTGAGCAGGTAAAGGAAACAGTTTTATGTAACCTCAGAGAATCAAAGAGGCAGCTAAGTTATACCAAGATCAATGGCAAGATTATGTAGATTGGTTTGAGAAAGTCAGCAAATCCTTTTTCTTTAAAAAATTTAAATTTTAGCCAAGTTATTAAAAAATATGAGATTGACTAAAAATTTAAGAAAAGACTTAAGTTACAAAATTCAAGAATCAAAGGAGACAACACTACCAACCTATATTAAAAAATTATAAGGTAATATTATAAACAAATTTATGCCAATAAATTAGACAACTTAAGAGGAAATAGAAACTTTCTCAGAATAACAACAAAAAAACAAACCTACTCAAGAGGAAACGTAAGTCTGTTTAAAACT